GAATGGGATGAGGGAGACATGTGGGCGCAGAGGTGTATTGCTGGTGGTTTTCATTTGCAGTAGTAGGTACCGCAGGCGAGGAGGAAGAGAGGTTAGGGCAAGGGGAGGCGAGGGCATGGGAAAGTGGTTAGAGAGGCACCAAGTGCATGGGAAAGAGGTTAGAGGGGCACGGAGGTGCATTGCTGGCGTATCACCAGGAGGTATTGTGGGAGAAGAGGGGAAAAGGGAGAGAGGAGATGGAACGGAGGGAGATGGAGACTGGAAGAGAGAGGGGGCGAGGGCATGGGAATGAGACTGAGGAGGCATGTGGGCGAGGAGGTGCACTGCTGGAGGTTTATCAGTAGGTACTGTGGGGGGAGGAGGAAGGGAGTGAGGAGACGAAGTGGGAGAGGTGGGGGAGAAGGGAGGCCTGGAGATGAGATCGAGGAACACTGTGGTCTAGGAGGTGCATTGTGGGTGGTTTATAAGTAGGAAACAATGGGAGAGAAGAGAAAAGGAAAAAGAAAAACAGGGAAACAGGGATGGAGAGGATAAGGGAGAGGGGAAAAGAGGAGAATCAGACTAAGGGAGAAGAGGATAACGGGAGAAGGGATTGGAAAGAGGGTGACGGGGTGGGTGAAGACGGAGGGACAGCGGGGTGGGGGGGGGAGAGGCATGGTTACGCATGCCAAGGATATGCAATACTGATTATGATATCAACCATGTGTGCATGGCGTCATGCCATGCGTGCATGACACCATACCATACTACGCGTGCATGACACCATACCATACTATGCGTGCATGACACCATAACATACTAGGCGTGCATGACACCATACCATACTATGCGTGCATGACACCATACCATACTATGCGTGCATGACACCATACCATACTATGCGTGCATGACACCATACCATACTATGCGTGCATGACACCATACCATACTATGCGTGCATGACACCATACCATACTATGCGCGCATGACACCATACCATACTATGCGTGCATGACACCATACCATACTATGCGTGCATGACACCATACCATACTATGCGTGCATGACACCATACCATACTATGCGTGCATGACACCATACCATACTATGCGTGCATGACACCATACCATACTATGCGTGCATGACACCATACCATACTATGCGTGCATGACACCATAACATACTATGCGTGCATGACACCATACCATACTATGCGTGCATGACACCATACCATACTATGCGTGCATGACACCATACCATACTATGCGTGCATGACACCATACCATACTATGCGCGCATGACACCATACCATACTATGCGTGCATGACACCATACCATACTATGCGTGCATGACACCATACCATACTATGCGTGCATGACACCATACCATACTATGCGTGCATGACACCATACCATACTATGCGTGCATGACACCATACCATACTATGCGTGCATGACACCATACCATACTATGCGTGCATGACACCATACCATACTATGCGTGCATGACACCATACCATACTATGCGTGCATGACACCATACCATACTATGCGTGCATGACACCATACCATACTATGCGTGCATGACACCATACCATACTATGCGTGCATGACACCATACCATACTATGCGTGCATGACACCATACCATACTATGCGTGCATGACACCATACCATACTATGCGTGCATGACACCATACCATACTATGCGTGCATGACACCATACCATACTATGCGTGCATGACACCATACCATACTATGCGTGCATGACACCATACCATACTATGCGTGCATGACACCATACCATACTATGCGTGCATGACACCATACCATACTATGCGTGCATGACACCATACCATACTATGCGTGCATGACACCATACCATACTATGCGTGCATGACACCATACCATACTATGCGTGCATGACACCATACCATACTATGCGTGCATGACACCATACCATACTATGCGTGCATGACACCATACCATACTATGCGTGCATGACACCATACCATACTATGCGTGCATGACACCATACCATACTATGCGTGCATGACACCATACCATACTATGCGTGCATGACACCATACCATACTATGCGTGCATGACACCATACCATACTATGCGTGCATGACACCATACCATACTATGCGTGCATGACACCATACCATACTATGCGTGCATGACACCATACCATACTATGCGTGCATGACACCATACCATACTATGCGTGCATGACACCATACCATACTATGCGTGCATGACACCATACCATACTATGCGTGCATGACACCATACCATACTATGCGTGCATGACACCATACCATACTATGCGTGCATGACACCATACCATACTATGCGTGCATGACACCATACCATACTATGCGTGCATGACACCATACCATACTATGCGTGCATGACACCATACCATACTATGCGTGCATGACACCATACCATACTATGCGTGCATGACACCATAACATACTATGCGTGCATGACACCATACCATACTATGCGTGCATGACACCATACCATACTATGCGTGCATGACACCATACCATACTATGCGTGCATGACACCATACCATACTATGCGTGCATGACACCATACCATACTATGCGTGCATGACACCATACCATACTATGCGTGCATGACACCATACCATACTATGCGTGCATGACACCATACCATACTATGCGTGCATGACACCATACCATACTATGCGTGCATGACACCATACCATACTATGCGTGCATGACACCATACCATACTATGCGTGCATGACACCATACCATACTATGCGTGCATGACACCATAACATACTATGCGTGCATGACACCATAACATACTAGGCGTGCATGACACCATACCATACTATTCGTGCATGACACCATACCATACTATGCGTGCATGACACCATACCATACTATGCGTGCATGACACCATACCATACTATGCGTGCATGACACCATACCATACTATGCGTGCATGACACCATACCATACTATGCGTGCATGACACCATACCATACTATGCGTGCATGACACCATACCATACTATGCGTGCATGACACCATACCATACTATGCGTGCATGACACCATACCATACTATGCGTGCATGACACCATACCATACTATGCGTGCATGACACCATACCATACTATGCGTGCATGACACCATACCATACTATGCGTGCATGACACCATACCATACTATGCGTGCATGACACCATACCATACTATGCGTGCATGACACCATACCATACTATGCGTGCATGACACCATAACCATACTATGCGTGCATGACACCATACCATACTATGCGTGCATGACACCATACCATACTATGCGTGCATGACACCATACCATACTATGCGTGCATGACACCATACCATACTATGCGTGCATGACACCATACCATACTATGCGTGCATGACACCATACCATACTATGCGTGCATGACACCATACCATACTATGCGTGCATGACACCATACCATACTATGCGTGCATGACACCATACCATACTATGCGTGCATGACACCATACCATACTATGCGTGCATGACACCATACCATACTATGCGTGCATGACACCATACCATACTATGCGTGCATGACACCATACCATACTATGGCAACCATACATACTATGCGTGCATGACACCATACCATACTATGCGTGCATGACACCATACCATACTATGCGTGCATGACACCATACCATACTATGCGTGCATGACACCATACCATACTATGCGTGCATGACACCATACCATACTATGCGTGCATGACACCATACCATACTATGCGTGCATGACACCATACCATACTATGCGTGCATGACACCATACCATACTATGCGTGCATGACACCATACCATACTATGCGTGCATGACACCATACCATACTATGCGTGCATGACACCATACCATACTATGCGTGCATGACACCATACCATACTATGCGTGCATGACACCATACCATACTATGCGTGCATGACACCATACCATACTATGCGTGCGTGATGGGATGGGATGAGGAGCATGGGATGGCATGAGGAGCATTTGATGGGATGAGGAGCATTTGATGGGATGAGGAGCATTTGATGGGATGAGGAGCATTTGATGGGATGAGGAGCATTTGATGGGATGAGGAGCATTTGATGGGATGAGGAGCATTTGATGGGATGAGGAGCATTTGATGGGATGAGGAGCATTTGATGGGATGAGGAGCATTTGATGGGATGAGGAGCATTTGATGGGATGAGGAGCATTTGATGGGATGAGGAGCATTTGATGGGATGAGGAGCATTTGATGGGATGAGGAGCATTTGATGGGATGAGGAGCATTTGATGGGATGAGGAGCATTTGATGGGATGAGGAGCATTTGATGGGATGAGGAGCATTTGATGGGATGAGGAGCATGGGATGTTACGAGGAGCATGGGATGGCACGAGGAGCATTTGATGGCACGAGGAGCATTTGATGGCACGAGGAGCATTTGATGGCACGAGGCGCATGGGATGGCATACTGGCTGTGCACGGCTTATTGACCATAGCTGGTGAGGAGAAATGATGGCCACGACTGTGAGCTAGATGTTTTGATTTCGACAATGACATACATGCCCATAGCCCCGTGTAGAGAGGGTGTTTTTGAGACGTCTCAAAACACCCTCTCTACACGTGGCTTTCGACAATGACATACATGCCCATAGCTCTAAGCCCATCCCACTCTCTCTCTCACTGCCCACCCCACCCCACTCTCGCACTGCTGCTGGCTTACCGTAGCTGCTGATGAGAATGATGGCGACCACTAAGAGCCAGATGTACCAACTGCGACAATGACATGCACGCACACACCCTGCCACTGCCGACCGATCCAACCCTCTCGCTGCGCATCCCATCCCATCCCACCCTTTTATGGGTTACTAACCGTAGCTGCTGACGAGAATGATGGCCACCACTGAGAGCCAGATGTACCAACTGCGACAGAGCCAGATGTACCAACTGCGACAGAGCCAGATGTACACACATGCTCATAGCTCTAAGCTCATCCCTACTGGTCATCCCACCCCACTCTCTCACTGCCCATCCCAACCCGCTCTCTCACTGCTGCTGGCTTACCGTAGCTGCTGATGAGAATGATGGCCACGACTGAGAGCCAGATGTACCAACTGCAAGAATACAGAGGACGGAGAGTCAAGGCGAGTCAAGGTGAGTCAAGGCAAGTCAAGGCGGTTCAAGGCGGGTCAAGGCGAGTCAAGGCGGGTCAAGGTGAGTCAAGGGGAGTCAAAGGAAAGTCAAGGAGGGTCAAGGTGAGTCAAGGCGAGTCAAGTCCTTTTCCAGTGCCCGCAGCACACAGGCGTGGAAGTTTATTGAAGTCAAGGTGAGTCAAAGGCGAATCAATGCGAGTCAAGGGCACTCACTTGGTGCCGACCATGCTAATGAAGACCTTTTCCAGCGCCCGCAGCACACAGGCGTGGAAGTTGAGGTCTAGGCGAGTCAAAACAATTCAAGGAAAGTCAAGGCAAGTCAACGTGGGTCAAGGGCACTCACTTGGTGCCGACCATGCTGATGAAGTCCTTTTCCAGCGCCCGCAGCACACAGGCGTGGAAGTTGAAGTCACGGGGGAGGCCGTGGTTCTGAAAGGTGGTTGTTGATTGGGAGGTGAGGAAAAGGGTAAGGGAGGAGATGCACAGAAATATGCTTTGCAGAGCATCGCAGCAGCAGAGCATCGCACAGCACACAGGCAGCGACATTGAAGTCCCGGGGGAGGCCGTGGTTCTGTGAGGCGGTTGTGGTGGTTGTTGTTTCGGAGGTGAGGGAAAGCGGCAAGGGAGGAGAGGCACAGAGAGATGTTTTTACAGCAGCAGTGCAACGCAGCACACACGCATGGAAGTTGAAGCCACGGGGGAGGCCGTGGTTCTGAGAAGGGGAGCAAGTGGGGCAATGTGGGAGAGGCACAGAGAAAATTTTGCACTGCAACAGCAGCAGTGCATCACATGCATCGAAGTTGAAGTCCCCGGGGAGGCCGTGGTTCTGCAAAGTGGTGGAGGCGGTGGCGGTGGCGGTGGCGGAGGCGGTGGCGGTGGCGGAGGCGGTGGCGGTGGCGGTGGCGGTGCCGGTGCCGGTGCCGGTGCCGGTGGCGGTGGCGGTGGCGGTGGCGGTGGCGGTGCCGGTGCCGGTGCCGGTGCCGGTGCCGGTGCCGGTGGCGGAGGCGGTGGCGGTGGCGGTGGCGGTGGCGGTGGCGGTGGCGGTGGCGGTGGCGGTGGCGGTGGCGGAGGCGGTGGCGGTGGCGGTGGCGGTGGCGGTGGCGGTGGCGGTGGCGGTGGCGGTGGCGGTGGCGGTGGCGGTGGCGGTGGCGGAGGCGGAGGCGGTGGCGGTGGCGGAGGCGGTGGCGGTGGCGGTGGCGGTGGCGGTGGCGGTGGCGGTGGCGGTGGCGGTGGCGGTGGCGGTGGCGGTGGGCGGTGGCGGTGGCGGAGGCGGTGGCGGAGGCGGTGGCGGTGGCGGTGGCGGTGGCGGTGGCGGTGGCGGTGGCGGTGGCGGTGGCGGTGGCGGTGGCGGTGGCGGTGGCGGTGGCGGAGGCGGTGGCGGTGGCGGTGGCGGTGGCGGAGGCGGTGGCGGTGGCGGTGGCGGTGGCGGTGGCGGTGGCGGTGGCGGAGGCGGTGGCGGTGGCGGTGGCGGTGGCGGTGGCGGTGGCGGAGGCGGTGGCGGTGGCGGTGGCGGTGGCGGTGGCGGTGGCGGTGGCGGTGGCGGTGGCGGTGGCGGTGGCGGAGGCGGTGGCGGTGGCGGTGGCGGTGGCGGTGGCGGTGGCGGTGCCGGTGCCGGTGGCGGTGGCGGTGGCGGTGGCGGTGGCGGAGGCGGTGGCGGAGGCGGTGCCGGTGCCGGTGCCGGTGCCGGTGCCGGTGTCGGTGCCGGAGGCGGTGCCGGAGGCGGTGGCGGTGGCGGTGGCGGTGGCGGTGGCGGTGGCGGTGGCGGTGGCGGTGGCGGTGGCGGAGGCGGTGGCGGTGGCGGTGGCGGTGGCGGTGGCGGTGGCGGTGGCGGTGGCGGTGGCGGTGGCGGAGGCGGTGGCGGTGGCGGTGGCGGTGGCGGTGGCGGTGGCGGTGGCGGTGGCGGTGGCGGTGGCGGTGGCGGTGGCGGAGGCGGAGGCGGTGGCGGTGGCGGAGGCGGTGGCGGTGGCGGTGGCGGTGGCGGTGGCGGTGGCGGTGGCGGTGGCGGTGGCGGTGGCGGTGGCGGTGGCGGTGGCGGAGGCGGTGGCGGAGGCGGTGGCGGTGGCGGTGGCGGTGGCGGTGGCGGTGGCGGTGGCGGTGGCGGTGGCGGTGGCGGTGGCGGTGGCGGTGGCGGAGGCGGTGGCGGTGGCGGTGGCGGTGGCGGAGGCGGTGGCGGTGGCGGTGGCGGTGGCGGTGGCGGTGGCGGTGGCGGAGGAGGCGGTGGCGGTGGCGGTGGCGGTGGCGGTGGCGGTGGCGGAGGCGGTGGCGGTGGCGGTGGCGGTGGCGGTGGCGGTGGCGGTGGCGGTGGCGGTGGCGGTGGCGGTGGCGGAGGCGGTGGCGGTGGCGGTGGCGGTGGCGGTGGCGGTGCCGGTGCCGGTGCCGGTGCCGGTGGCGGTGGCGGTGGCGGTGGCGGTGGCGGAGGCGGTGGCGGAGGCGGTGCCGGTGCCGGTGCCGGTGCCGGTGCCGGTGCCGGTGTCGGTGCCGGAGGCGGTGCCGGAGGCGGTGGCGGTGGCGGTGGCGGTGGCGGTGGCGGTGGCGGTGGCGGTGGCGGTGGCGGTGGCGGTGGCGGAGGCGGTGGCGGTGGCGGTGGCGGTGGCGGTGGCGGTGGCGGTGGCGGTGGCGGTGGCGGTGGCGGAGGCGGTGGCGGTGGCGGTGGCGGTGGCGGTGGCGGTGGCGGTGGCGGTGGCGGTGGCGGTTGCGGTGGCGGTGGCGGTGGCGGAGGCGGAGGCGGTGGCGGTGGCGGTGGCGGTGGCGGTGGCGGTGGCGGAGGCGGAGGCGGTGGCGGTGGCGGTGGCGGTGGCGGTGGCGGTGGCGGTGGTGGTGGAGGTGGAGGTGGTGGTGGTGGTGGAGGAGGTCTTGGTGGTGGTGGTGGTTGTTTGGCAGGAGGGGGAAGAGACACAGATCAGATTAAACAGTGACTCAGAGAAACATTCTTTAGTCGACTCAAACATCGATTTTTGAGTCGACTAAAAAATCGACTCATCACACAGGAGGGGAAAGAGACACAGATCAGATTAAACAGTGACTCGGAGAAACAGCGCCTCACAGAAACAGCATCCCACAGGCGCAACACAGAAACAGCGCCCCACAGAAACAGGGAGTTTCAGATTTCGGCTTTAGGGTTTAGGGTTTGCGGTTTAGTGCTTCTCACGTGGATGAAGGCGAGGCGCAGTGTGGTGTAGTCGAGCTGTGTGATGGGCGACAGTATCTGCAGTGTCGCTGCTTTCTGGTGTGCAGTGGCGGGGGGGCAAGTGGCGCAGGGAGGCAGGGGGCGCAGGGGAACAATCAAGATATGGGGTACCGGGTTTGGTGTGATGGGCGACAGTATCTGCAGTGTCGCTGCTTTCTGGTGTGCAGTGGCGGGGGGGCAAGTGGCGCAGGGAGGCAGGGGGCGCAGGGGAACAATCAAGATATGGGGTACCGGGTTTGGTGTGATGGGCGACAGTATCTGCAGTGTCGCTGCTTTCTGGTGTGCAGTGGCGGGGGGGCAAGTGGCGCAGGGAGGCAGGGGGCGCAGGGGAACAATCAAGATATGGGGTACCGGGTTTGGTGTGATGGGCGACAGTATCTGCAGTGTCGCTGCTTTCTGGTGTGCGGTGGCGGGGACACAGAGCGCAGGGAGGCAGGGGAGAAGTCAAGGGGTTCGGGTTTAGGGTTTATAAATTTTGTGTTATGGGCGACAGTATCTGCAGGGTTGCTGCTTTCTGGTGTGAGCAGGGGTGCAATCAGGATACGGGTTTAGGGTTTGATGAGATGGGTGACAGTATTTGCTGGGTCACTGCTTTCTGGTGTGAGGGGGCAGTGGGGAAGGGGGCGCAGGGTAAGCAGGGAAGCAGGGGAATGGGGAGCAGGGGAGCAGTGGAGAAGGGGAGCAGTGGAGAAGGGGAGCAGCGGAGCAGGGGAGAAGGGGAGGCAACGGGGCAGAGCAGCAGAGGGTCGACTGGCACACATGGTACAGGACAAGGGCTGACTGCATGGTGCTTATATGCAGGAGTGCGGTGTGGTGCGGTGGGGCATGGTGGTGTGGTTTTTTTTTGCTGTGGTATGGCATGGTGTGCTGTAGGTATGGTGCGGTGGAGCAATGCGGTGGTGCGGTGTGGTGATGTGGTGGAGTGTGGTGCTGTGGTGTGGTGCGGTGCAGTGGTGTGGTGTAGTGTGATCGTACATAGGTGAGGAGGAACGAGTGCCAAGCAGACAGATGCCCACTCGCATCCACACGCGCGGTGCCCTCTTTCCCCTCCCCACTCTCCGCCTCTTCTTCATCTTCTCCTTCCCCCTCCTTGTCTCCAACCCCAACCTCCCCCTCATCTGCCCCTCCTCCCCCTCCTCCTCCTCCTCCTCCCCCTCCTCCTCCCCCCCCTCCTCCCCCTCCCGTTCCTCTTCCCACATTCTTCCTACCTGGCTGGCTGTCCCCTCCCGTTCCCTTATCACCTCTCTCTCTCCTCACCCTCTCTCCCTCCTCCTCTGCAATTCCCTCGACCTCCCATTCCATCTCATCGTCCTCCCCAGCCTCCCCACCGCTCTCAACCATCCCATCCGCCCATGCAACCACCTGATCATACTCATCAACCTCGAATGCACCTTCATCATCCTCAATCTCATGAACCTCACTTCCTTCACACTCACTCTCTCCATAATCAGTATCATCACTCTCACTACCGCCACCCTCACCATCACCACTGTATCCACCATCCTTCTTGCTCTTGCTGCTCCCTTTGGTGCTCGGAGTAAAGTGCACCTCCCTTTTCCTCATCAAGCCCTCCACGAAAATCGCAGACACCACACCCTGCACTCGTCCCCCGCTTGCCCCTCCCTCCTTCTGTGTATCTGCTGCTGCAGCAGGCTGTTTTTTAAGCGCCTCAAAAGCAGCAGGGGACTCAACAGACGAAGACACTGACGCAGCAGCAGCACCAGGAGCAGCAGCAGCGGCAAAAACAGAAGAAGACGAGGGGGAAGGAGCAACAGGACCAGACACTGCAGCAGCAGCAGTGCTAGAGGCTGGGGAAGGACAAGAATCACCCTCCCCACCACCACCACCGCTGTGCAAACCAGCACTATCACCAGCAGAAGCAGCAGCAGTAGCAGCAGCAGCAGCAGCAGGAGAAGAAGCAGAGTCCTTACCCCTCTTTCCTACTCCGCCATGCCCCTCTTCAGATTTTCCCAAAACCGGAAAGGCCAGTCTTTCCTTATTTATCTGCGTGTAGACGGTGGGGTCCCAGCTTCCTAGGACTGGAAAGAATGAGGAGGAGGAGGAGGAGGAGGAGCGGGGGGAAGGGGAGGAGGAGGAAGCGGGGGTAGGCAGCTCGTGGGTTTGGCTCGAGTGCGCTGGAGGCCGAGCAGTCAAGGGTTTGTTGCAGTGCGAGTCTGATCCGAATACGTGCTCTGGGGATTCACACACAGACGCCAGGGTTGTTTGAGACATCTCGAAACTGAAAGGCTGCGGCGGCGACGGGCTTACGTGCTCTGGTTTTGTTTTCCGAGACTCCACGGTCTGTTCCTCTGAGTGTGTTTCCAGTGAGTGCACTTGGGTTGAGTGCGTTTCCTTTGAGTGCGCATGCGTGAGATGCCTTTGTGTTAAGTGCGTTGCTGCCTGGTCGCCGTCCCAGGGCTCTACTGTCCGGTTCAGTGGCCCAGACGGAGAGTCTCGCGCAGGGAAGGGAGAAGATTTGGGGAGGCGGAAGGAGGAGGAGAAGGACGGGAGGCGGGAGAGAAAGGAGGAGGCGCCGCTGTCGTGGTGAGAGATGCTTTGGGAGCGCTGGGCGATGGAAGGGGTGGTGGAGGGAGTGAGGGGACCCGAGCGGAAGAGGCGGGTGGAGTGGAAGATGGGACCGGAGAATGTGTGCGAGTGGGAGACGCGGCGGGAGGACGCATTGAAATCCGCGCCGTGGCGGTGCTGGAAGGCCGAGTCTTGCAGGGCAAGAGTCAGTTGACCTGCCAAGGGGGGAGGAAGGCGGGTGGAGTGGAAGAGGGGGCCGGAGAACGTGTGTGAGCGGGAGGTGTAGTGTGGGGATGCGGTGAAATCCGCGCCGTGGCGGTGCTGGAAGGCCGAGTCCTGCAGGGCGAGGGTCAGCTGGCCTGCCATGGAGGGCGGAAGGGAGGAGAGGGAATTTGGGGATGGGGCGTGAGGATGCTGTGAAAGCCGCACCGTGGCGGTGCTGAAAGGCAGAGCACTGCAGGGCGAGGGCCAGCTGGCCTGGAGTGCGTGCATGGGGGTGGTGGTGGGGAGGGGGATGAGGGCGAAGAAGAAGGGTGAAAGAAGTGCCGTGTCGGTGCTGGAAGGCCGAGTTGATGCCCGTACCTGACACCCGTACCTGACACCCATACCTGACACCCGTACCTGACACCCGTACCTGACACCCGCACCTGACACCCACACCTGACACCCGTACCTGACACCCGCACCTGACACCCGCACCTGACACCCACACCTGACACCCATACCTGGCACCCGTACTTGACACCCATACCTGACACCCATACCTGACACCCATACCTGACACCCATACCTGACACCCATACCTGATACCCATACCTGAAACAGGCACGGTTTCCATCTCAAGCGACTTCTTGAGTGCCTCTGCCTCCCAGCTTTTCCAGCGCATCACCTGAAAGAAAGCTCCAATGTAGTTAGATAAACATGTGATTCATAACAACGATTCACTCAATAACATTCCCTGACTCAATAAAAGTGGTTTACGGAAAGTAGGGAAGGGGGGAGGGCAAGCGAGAGTGGGGCAGATGCATATGAACTGTTTCAATGTTAACGGTGGTGCATGAGTAGCAGGGAATGTGCTTCATAATGAGGGAGAAGATGAAGCGGTGCCTTTTGAGTCAATTCATATGAACCCCTAGACTGATGAGTCGACTCAAGCACTAACTTGTTGGTGGGCGATGATGATGGTGATGCAGGAGTAGAGAATGTGACCCAAGGCGAGGAAGAAGATGAAGAGGTGCATTTTGAGTCAATTCATTCAAAACCTCTTGGCTTTTAAGTCGACTCAAGACTGATTTGGTTGCATGGACGCACTAACCCGTCGGTGAGCGATGATGATGGTGATGCAGGAGTAGAGGATGTGTCCCAGGGCGAGGAAGAAGATGAAGAGGTGCAGCTGGTGCACTCCCGATGGCGACATGAAGGGCTCCTGGCCCTGTTGCACGAAGAGAAAGGGAGCGGAGGACGGGGGGGTTGTGTTGGGAGGGAGGGGAGGGAAGCATGCCAGGGCTCAGGGCGAGGAAGAAGACGAAGAGATGCCGCTGGTGCACTCCTGATGGGGACATGAACGGCTCCTGACCCTGATAGATAGACGGGTTCGGGAGGAAAGGGAGGGGGGAGGAGGGGCGGCAGGGGGGGTGGGAGAGGGAGAGCGGGGAAGCATGCCATGACGCTGGGCGAGGAAGAAGATGAAGAGGTGCAGCAGGTGCACTCCTGATGGGGACATGTAGGGCTCCTGACCCTGATGGGGAGGAGGGTTGTGGGGAGGTGGGGGCGGGGGGTGGGAGAGGGGACAAGGAACGGCTGGTGCACGCCTGATGGTGACATGAACACGGCTCCTGACCCTGATGGATGGGTGAGTGAGAGAGGCGGGGGAGGAGGTGGTTTGAGGCAGCTCAAAAGAAGATGAAGAGATGCAGCTGATGCACCCCCGATGGCGACATGAATGGCTCCTGACCCTGATGGGGACAAGGGTGGGGGAGCAGGCATGACTCATGGGGTAGCATAGTATGACTCATTGGGGTAGCATGGCATGACTCATGGGGTAGCATAGTATGACTCATGGGGTAGCATGGCATGAGTCATGGGGTAGCATGGCATGACACATGGGGTAGCATGGCATGACTCATTGGGAGGCATGGGACACAATGACAACTTACAGATGGGCATGTGTTCTCTGAGCTTGACAACACCCTCCTGCTCATCTCATGGTAACCACTGTGCTGGTAACCACCCTCATGGTAATCATACTGGAATGGAATGAAATGGAATGACAACTTACAGATGGGCATGTGTTCTCTGAGCTTGACAACACCCTCCTGCTCATGTCAGGGTAACCACTGTGCTGGTAACCATCCTAATGGAATGGAATGGAATGGAATGGAATGGAATGGAATGGAATGGAATGGAATGGAATGACGACTTACAGATGGGCATGTGTTCTCTGAGCTGGACAACACCCTCCTGCTTATCTCATGGTAACCACTGTGCTGGTAACCAACATGATGGTGGTAACCATCATCAAGGTGACCATGGTGGTTGTAACCACCACGGTGCTCAGTCTGCTGCATCCCATGCGTCAATGCGCCCAGCAGCTGCCGCCCGTCGAACCCGTGCCGCCCGGACAGCAGCTGCCGCCCATCTGACAGCCCCAGGTGCGCAGTATTGCCGGCCGGTGCAGACTCGGAGGCGGGCGGTGCAGACTCGGAGGCGGGCGGTGCAGACTCGGAGGCGGGCGGTGCAGACTCGGAGGCGGGCGGCGCAGACTCGGAGGCGGGCGGCGCAGGGGACAAGGACGGGGGCTTGCATGGGATGAAGATGGTGTTGCGGGGAATGGCGATGCACCATTGGACGATGAGCGGGTCGATGAGAGCCAGCACGATGGAGAGGAAACCCACCAGCATCAGCTCTGGGTGGCAGAATGGTAAGGGTGAATGGGAGGGGGTCAGGAAGAAGAGGTTAAATGGGTTCGACTATGAGCGGATCGATGAGAGCCAGCACGATGGAGAGGAAACCCACCAGCATCAACTCTGCATGGTTGGGGGTGATAGGTGGGAGCCAAGGAGAGGGGTGAAAGGGAAGAGGCGGCGGATCGATGAGAGCCAGCACGATGGAGAGGAAACCCACCAGCATCAGCTCTGCATGGCCCAGGGGTTAATGAGAGGGGTGCACAGATGGGGCGAAATAAAAGGGGGTGGGGATGGCGATGCACCATTGGACTATGAGCGGGTCGATGAGAGCCAGCACGATGGAGATGAAGCCTACCAGCATCAGCTCTGCATGGCCCAGGAGGGGGTGAATGGTAGGAGTCAAGGAGAGGGGCGCGCCACCCCCACGAGAGCTGCTTTTGAGTCGCCTGGTAATTCCAAAGCGACCTTGCCGCCCTGACGTTTGACACAAAAGACACATTGCATGGCTCCTCGCCGTCTTTTATGTGGCGCGCCACCCCCACGAGAGCTGCTTTTGAGTTACCTGGCAATTCGAAAGCGACCTTGCCACCCTGCTTTTAACTCAAGAGACACCTTGTCTGCCTTCTCCTCACCGTCTTTTATGCGGTGCCCCACCATCACGAGAGCTGCCCGTTTCTTCCGAACCAGGTACTGCAGCGACACACAGCAGTCATGTGCATGGCATAGAACAAAGGTGCATCGCACGAAACAGAATAAAGGCGCATGGCATGGCATGGAACAGAATAAAGGCGCATGGCATGGCATGGAACAGAATAAAGGCGCATGGCATGGCATGGAACAGAATAAAGGCGCATGGCATGGCATGGAACAGAATAGAGGCGCATGGCATGGCATGGAACAGAATAAAGGCGCATGGCATGGCATGGAACAGAATGAAGGCGCATGGCATGGCATGGAACAGAATTAAGGCGCATGGCATGGCATGGAACAGAATTAAGGCGCATGGCATGGCATGGAACAGAATAAAGGCGCATGGCATGGCATGGAACAGAATAAAGGCGCATGGCATGGCATGGAACAGAATAAAGGCGCATGGCATGGCATGGAACAGAATCAAGGCGCATGGCATGGCATGGAACAGAATAAAGGCGCATGGCATGGCATGGAACAGAATAAAGGCGCATGGCATGGCATGGAACAGAATAAAGACGCATGGCATGGCATGGAACAGAATAAAGGCGCATGGCATGGCATGGAACAGAATAAAGGCGCATGGCATGGCATGGAACAGAATCAAGGCGCATGGCATGGCATAGAACGAAACAGAGGTGCATGGCATCGGGAACACGGCAAATGACATGGAACCAGCGCACGTAACATGGCAGTCAGTAAGCACATTATATCAGAAACGCAATGCTGATGCGTACAAGGGAATCTTGCTGATGCACATGGACATTCGGCTGCTACACCTGATTCTTCGATGTTAAACCAGAAAATGTGACAAATTCCAATGCACTCGACCATACGCCGCATTTTACCGCACTGAACCACTCACTCTGTGAATGAGATAAATAAGCCGTTCAAAAAGTAGCGACACGACGATAATAATCGCCGCCACCGTAGCAGTCAAGAAGGTCGGAGTGTAAAGCATGGACGAGGACAGATCTACGCTCGACTCGCTGCTAGAGCTCGGATTCGTTCCCGAAGTTTCGCCTCCGCTTCCCCCACTCTCTCCCAGCAGTCGACTACTTTCTCTAAGAAATCGTCGGAGAAGCGTCACGCCGTCGACGCGTGGGAAAAACGGCGAATGGATAGGCGTATGAGCGGCGAAATCCGCCATCGTGACAGCTCCGTTAAGAAGCACGCACTCTCGACTCTGAGACGTACTCGCTGGATTCTGGGCTGGTCGTGACGCTCGCGGGGCTGACGTCAAGGGTAGTGCGGATTTTCGTGTATTAAACTGCAGCTGCTGAGGTAAATTAGTCAAGAAAAGTAGGAACTTCAAAGCACTGAGGTGATCAAGTGGTATTCCCAAGGCTGACTCATGTCTTGAGAGCTAATCGACTCTACTCGACTCCAGTCTGCTCTGCTATGTTCTACTCTACTCTTCTCTGATGATAACAAGGCTGATATGGCATCATTCCTAAGTGCGACGCCACAAAAAGCTTTGTCGTCGGTTTGAGTTGAGACTTTGAACGAGTGGTGGTGAAGTGTTTCAACTCAGCCTTTGAACGAGTGGTGGTGAAGTGGTGTTTCACTGAAATCTCGGAGGTGGAGCAGAAGTGTCAGTGGCCGACTGGAGTGAAGTTTCAAGGTTTGGTTGGTTGCACAAGGTCGGCATAATCGAGGTGGGTTGAGGACATACTGTACTGTATCATTGATGTACACAACACATATACTTGTATTGTATGTGTATTAATGAAACAGTATTCCGTAGTTGGCAGTGGCAACGAAAAGTCGAAAATGGTTTCGTTCGAGAATAAATAGAGTTCTCAGAACCGCAGCAACTCCTAGCGCCATCGTTATCAACCGTTCTGAAACAGGAGTTCTCGTCACCTGGATTTTCGCTGGACAAAAAATCATAGGTAACCCTACCTTCTCTCGTTTTCGTGTGGCGCAAATCTCGCCAACACAAAACATTTCGTCTGTCCATGTCCATCCATGACACAGCAGAAGTCTGATGTGATACATACCACCACACATCTCGCCTATTTGCTTCGCAAGCCTAGAATCTTGTCACGAGAATCCCGCACTTCCATCGCCATGGCAGGCGGCGACATGCTTCCACTCCCGCCGCATTTCCACCCGCTTCAGGCTCTCTGGCCGTCGCTCTTCACTCCCTCCTCGCTCTCGCTGCCATCGCAGCAACTCGCCGAGTCGCTTTTCGACGTCGCAGGCTTCGCCGCCTTCGCGACGCTCTACGCATTCGCGATCTCGTTCGTCTTCCCATGTCCCCCGCATCAGCCGCTCATGCTAGGAAAAATGTCTCTGCAAATGAGAAGGTCCGTAGCTTGTCTCGCCTACTAATTCGCAAAAGCCAGATGCTCATGCTAGGCAAAACGTCCCCGATAATGAGTCTTCACCCACGACATTAACGGGACCCGGGTTCTTTCTTTTCCATGGCGCCTCAGAAACATTCTTATACTGATTCCCCTTCGTCCCAGGTACATCAATTTCGCAGGGGTGATGGGAGTGCTCTGGCCGCTCGCCCTGATAGCATCCGGTTACTACCTCCGGAGCGCCTCAGGAACAGTCTTTTACTGTCTCCCATTGCTCCCAGATACATTAATTTCGCAGGAGTGATGGGAGTGCTCTGGCCGCTCGCCCTGATAGCGTTCGGGTACCTCTTTTAACGCACCTCCATATCATCTCAGCTATGGTGGGAGTGCTCTGGCCGCTCGCCCTGATAGCGTCTTTTACTACCTCCGCAGCGCCTCAGGAACAGTCTTTTACTGTCTCCCATTGCTCCCAGATACATCAACTTCGTAGGAGTGGTGGGAGTGCTGTGGCCGCTCGCCCTGATAGCATCCGAGTACTTCCTTTTCAGCCGCCTGAGAAGCACTCTTCTACTGATTCCCTTCCCCCCAGGTACATCAATTTCGCAGGGGTCGTGGGAGTGCTGTGGCCGCTCGCCCTGATAGCGTCTTGCTAACTCGTCCGCCAGTCCATTTCTGAATTCACATGCTTGTCTCCCTCGTCCCCCCAGATACATTAATTTCGCAGGAGTGATGGGAGTGCTGTGGCCGCTCGCCCTGATAGCATCCGGTTACTACCTCCGAAAGAGCATCCCTGAATTCACCTGGGCTCTCTCCCTCGTCCTCCCTGACATGCTGCTGCTCGTCATCCAGGTGCGTGCTAGAGTGTGAGGGGGTTTGAGGGTGTGTGAGGGAGTTTGAGGGTGTGTGAGGAAGTGTCAGGGAGTGGGTGCGTGATGAAGTGAGAGGGAGTGTGCGAGGGAGTGTGTGCATGTATGAGTGCTCTGGCCGCTCGGCCTGATAGCATCGGGTTACTACCTCCGAAAGAGCATCTCTGAGTTCACCTGGGCTCTCTCCCTCGTCCTCCCTGATATGCTGCTGCTCGTCATCCAGGTGCGTATCTGTCTGTGTCTGCCTGCCTGTGTGAGGCTGTGTGCGCGTGTGTGGGTATGTCTGCAGTTGTCTAGAACATTCAAGTTCTTCCTCCGCTAGGCCATCCCCGAATTCACCTGGGCTCTCTCCCTCGTCCTCCCTGACATGCTGCTGCTCGTCATCCAGGTGCGTATGAGGGTGTGTGCAGGTATGACTTTTGAGACGTCTCAGAAGGTGTGTGAGGGAGTGTCAGTGGGTGCGTGCAGGTATGAGTGCTCTGGCCGCTCGCCCTGGTTGAATCCGGGTACTTTTTGAGAATTCTCAAAAAACTTTCTCCGGAAGAACATCCCTCGTCCTCCCTGACATGCTGCTGGTGGGTGGGGGGGAAGTGGGCGAGGGGGGGGGCATGTTGGGGGGAGGATGTATGCGTGTGTGTTGCCGGATATGAGTTGCCGGATATGAGTTGCCGGATATGAGTTGCCAGATATGAGTTGCCGGATATGAGTTGCCAGATATGAATGGGAGAGAAGTCGTAGGAATTTCAGTTCCCATCTCTTTGCACGTACTTTGCGTAGGTTCTCTCCCTTCCCCTCCCTGACGTCTCACTGCTCATCATTCACACATTTTGTGACGTGCTGTGACCCGTCTCGCCACATGATTGGACTCCTTTTCTAGTCGTGACGGAGTTGCTTTTAAGAATTCTCGAAAGCTTCTCCTCCCTGACGTCTCGTCTCACCGCTCATCATTCGGAGACATGATTGATTGATTTTGTTTGTTCTTTTCTAGCTATGACTCTGAATGTTTCACTGCCCTTGCTTTCCACTTCGTCCTTTTCTTATTGTTGGGTTTATTTTTGTCTTTCTGGAGCCATCAGATCATTTCAGAGGGAGTCACCGTGGTGGCAATGCAATCACTACCAGTCAAGTAAGTAAGTTCAATGCAAGCAGCCCACCTCACCTCACTCGAGCTCCCTCCCTTCCTCTTCTTGCACCCATGCCCTTGCTTCGAGCCATCAGATTATCTCAGAAAATGTCACCAGGGCGACAAAGCAGTCATTACCGGTCAAGTAAGGTCAATGCAAGCAGCTCGCCCAAGCTCCCTCCCTTCCTGCTTCTGTCCTTCAGACCCACAGTTTCTCTCTTGTTTCCTGCCTTCATAATTGTTCCCACCACAGCACTCTTCCCCAATCACTCATCTTTCCTCTTACCCATTCTCACATCCCCTCTCTAATGCTCGGCGCATGCTCTCACTTTACAAGTGCCTCACCCTTCCTCCTCTTCTCTCTTTCCCTTCTCTCGCCACCTCCTCTCTCTCTCCCTGCCCCCTCTCTCTCTTTGGCAAGAGCTCTTGTTCCCGCCACTCTACAACGCCCAGAGCACGTTCTCTCTCTACAAGTGGCTCACGCACTCTGCTGCTAATTTGAGGCGCCTAAAAATTTTGAGGCGCATTTTGAGGAGCCTCAAAATTGTTCCCCCGCTCTACAACTCCCAGCGCACGTTCTCTCTCTACAAGTGGCTCACGCGCTCTGCTGCTGCCTTCACTCACTTTCTCTTCTCCCTTTCCCCCTTCTCCTTCCCATATCCCCCTCCACTCGACATCTCCCCACCAGAGCTCTCGTCCCCCCGCTCTACAACGCTCGCCGCATGTTCTCTCTCTACAAGTGGCTCACACATTCTGCTGTTACCGTGCCCCCTTCCCCTTCGTCCCCACTGTTTGCCCATATCCCGCCTGCAGAGCTCTCGTCCCCCCTCTCTACAATGCCCGCCGTATGTACTCTCTCCACAAGTGGCTCACGCGCCCTGGTGTCGCCTTCACTCACTTTCTCTTCTCAATTCTCCCATTTTTCTTCCCATATCCAACCCCTGACATATCTTGCTTGCAGAGCTCTCGTCCCTCCCCTCTACCACGCCCGGCGCATGTTCTCTCTCTACAAGTGGCTCACACACTCTGCTGCCACCCTTTTATCTCCTTCCCCCCCCCCCTTTCCTCCCCTCTCCCCAGAGCCCTTGTCCCCCCGCTCTACAACGCCCGGCACATGTTCTCTCTCTACAAGTGGCTCACACACTCTGCTGCCGCCGTGCTACCCCTCATGCTTTCAAGCACTGCAAGGGCAGGCAGTGGCAGCGTGTGGCGCCTGGTGTGGCTGGGAGCGCTGGTAGCATGTGCAGGTATGTTGGCTTGGCTGTATTGTTCAGATGGGTAATACGGGTGATGCTGGGAGCAAGCACTGCAAGGGCGGGCAGTGGCAGCGTGTGGCGCCTGGTGTGGCTGGGAGCGCTGGTAGCATGTGCAGGTAGGTCGGCTGTGTTGTTCAAATAGATGTGACTATTCTTACCTCGCGCCACCCTTCCCCACAACCCTCCCTCCACGCGGCGATAAGCTACCTTCTGTGGGCGAACAGTGTCTGCTGCTTCCTGCTGCCCACTGTCATTTTCCAATGAGCAGCAGTGCGTAGGTTCGGGCTTAAGCAAGTAGGAAAAACAGTAAAAAATCTAACACGCGGCGATAAACAACTACCTTCTGTGGGCGAACAGTGTCTGCTGCTTCCAGATGCCCACTGTCGTACCTTCTGCTGTCTTATGTGCCTTATGTCCTGCACCCACACACCCACACCGTGATAAAAGTGTAGTTTTGAGACGTCTCAAAACTTATGTCCTGCACCCACACACCCACACCGCCCTCCCCGAACCCCCCTCGTCACCCCCGTCTTTCCTCCCTCCCCCCCCCCTCCACCCGGCGGTGAACTACCTTCAGTGGGCGAACAGTGTGTTCTAGGCCCTCCCCTCTCTGCTTGCTGCTGCCCACGGTTGTCCCTCCTGCCTTTGCATGAACCTCTTGTCGCCACCCGCACCCCCTCCCCTCCACCTTCCCCCCCACCCACCCAGCGGTGAACTACCTGCTGTGGGCATACAACGTCTTCTGCTTCCTGCTGCCCACTGTTGTGCCTCACACACACCTGTTCACGTACCCTGCTCGTGTGTCCCTCTTCCCCCCCTTCCTCTCCCCCCTCACCCCAGCGGTGAACTACCTGCTGTGGGCGTACAACGTCTTCTGCTTCCTGCTGCCCACTGTTGTGCCTCACACACACCTGTTCACGTACCCTGCTCGTGTGTCCCTCTTCCCCCCCTTCCTCTCCCCCCTCACCCCAGCGGTGAACTACCTGCTGTGGGCATACAACGTCTTCTGCTTCCTGCTGCCCACCGTCATGCCTTCTGCCTTTTCATGTATCATATGTCCCATGCCCAACCCCCCCCCCCCCCCACCAAACCCCTCTCCCATCCCAGCGGTGAACTACCTGCTGTGGGCATACAACGTCTTCTGCTTCCTGCTGCCCACCGTCGTGCCGCGCATATTCGAGCAGGACATTGCCTCGCGAGGGGTAGCTAGTGGCACAGCTAGAGTGGCAGGAGGGGGCGCAAAGGATGGTGGCAGTGGTGCTGGTAAAGGAAAGAAAGGTGCTAAGGGTCTATAAGCACGTGACGCAGCCTACAAGTACTGCCCACCATCGTGCCTCGCATATTTGAGCAGGATACTGCGTCACATGCTGCAGCTGGTGGTGCAGCGAGAGAGTGGAAGCAACAGATGGTAGCAATGGTAACGTACCAATAAATACCTCCTCTCAAATTCAGATATTTACCAGAGTTCTTGTAACAAATAGCGTAATGTACTGTACCTAAATTGCATCCTTGTACAAGAAGCATCTATTTACAATACAACAAGGTCACCCCAACATTCTCCAATCTACGGCTAACGTGCTACACCTCATCTCCTACTGTATCCCCCACTAAACCTTCTTCAACAGCCCACGAATTCCTCCTCTTCCCCCAACCCTACCCACCAAAGCCTCACAACCTTCGCCCTTACTGCCTGCTGAAATATCGGCGCTTGCTATTCAAGCCCTCACCTCTAAGCCACAGGCACCACACCACCACCACCACCATCCTCACCCTCTTTTCATTTCTTTGCAAGGGACAGGATCACATACTCCCCCTCCCTGGAGCCCTCCTTCCTCCTTCCTTGCCTTCGCAAGGAGCAAGATCACATACTCCCCCTCCCTAGTGCCCTGCAGCTTCTCCACCAGCGCTTCATCCACGTTAAAAGCAGCCTACATGCTCCCGCTTGCAACAGCCCTGCATTCCCAAGCAACTCAAAACCCACTCTCCTTTCTTGCCCATGGAGGAGACAGAAACACATACCCCCCCTCCCTAGAACCCCGCAGTTTCTCCGCCAGGCCTTCATCCACGTTAAAAGCAGCCTTCAGTACAGCGGTAGGCAGCGCACTGTAGACAGAATTGCCGCCGGCGAGATAGCCAGGCTTGGGCCTGGACTTGGGGTAGAGAACAACGTATTCTAACCCCCACTCCATTGCCACCTGTTGGGGGAAGAAGAAGGAACGGAAGGAGAGAAAGGTGCCTCAGATACGCGTTTGGACTTGGGGGAGAGAGCAACGTAAGCCCTCAACTGATGCCTCCTGTTCGGAGATAGAAAAGAGTGGACAAGAACAGAGAGTGGGGACAGAGGGTGGGTGGGAAAGAAAGAGGGTGATAAACTTGCCAAAAAAACGTCAAATATTTTAATTGCTGTTAAGTTGTCGTGGAACCATCACAACAGCAACTACAGCGTGAGTGAATGAAGTTACCATAATACATGACCAAAACCTCTCACTGCCGCGAATGTGCTGCCATATTCCTGTCTCTATGTTACCGGTTTGGTTCACTGCACCTTTTGCAACAGTATGAGCGGGGCACCCGGCACAATAACCACATCTGTGCTGTCAATGCTATGTCACCGTGTCACCGCGTTACAATGCACCTGACCATGTTACTTTGTCACAGTAACTCACTCACAACAGCATGGGCAAACGCAGCTGGCAACACCTCCACATCCCTCCGGCCAGTGCTATGTTACTGGGTAACAGTGAATCTTAGCACGGTACAGGGCAACTGTCAGTCACTCACAACAGCATGAGCGAATGCAGCCGGCACCACCACCACATCCCCAGGATTCACAAAAATCCACAGCATCTTCCAGCCGTCCGGATAGGCCTTTCTTCCCTTCCTTACCGTGTGGTAGTACCACCCACATGACCATACCACTGCGTCACTGCACCACACTGCACCACACCGCACCACACTGCACCACTCACAATAGCATGAGCGAATCCAGCCGGCACAACCACCACATCCCCATTAGAAAAATACGCGCTCAGCGCCTTCCTGCCATCTGGATAGGCTATCTCAATCCGCCCCATGTTAAATATCCCAAAGTAGACGGTTGCTGAGTTGGACAGCAATTGAGGCGCTGCCATGGCATACGGCTGTGGCAGGGCGGAATGGAGGGAGGGAAGAAGCGCTAGAAGAAAAGTCATATCAAGCAATAACAGGAAGAAAAGGAGGTAAGTTGCACCACAGACCAAAATGCTCACTTCTATCCCAAACTTCTACATACCAAACTTCTATCCCTCACTTTCCCCGTAACTGACCGCCAAATAAACGTGAGCAGCAGCCACGCCCACGTGACGAAACACCGGGAGCTTAAAGCCATCCTCAATGTTCATCATGCCGACCCCAGGCGTCTCGATGCTAGGCTGCTCCCACTCATTTCTTATGTTGACCACGAAATCCCCAAACGCTAGAGTGCCTTCCGAGTTATCAGCGGCTGACGCAGCAACGCCATCATCATCAGCACCAGGAGCAGCATCAGCATCAGGATCACCAGATACGGCCTTCCTCGGGTCGACCTCCGCAATTGCTGTGTCCTTCTGCCCCTGCAACAGCTGTGCCACATCTGCTTCCTCCACGCCCCATGCCCTCGCCAGCACTCGGTGGCTGTGTGTCGGGGTGACAAAGGACAGGCCACAGAGACAGACACAGAGAGGGAGGATGAACAGCTTCCCCTTCTGAGCCCCCACCTGGAACTCACCTGATCCCACCTGAAATTCACCCTGAAATTCACCTGAGCGCACCTGAAGCCATGCAGAATGCCGCCAAACTTCCCCTTCTGAGCGCCGACCAGCCTGAACGTCGTGTATTGCCCACGGTGGGTCTCCTTGGACGTATCTGACATTGGGTGGGGTGAGGTTAGGAGGTATGGGGAGGTGAGGCGGTACGGGTGAGCCCCCACCAGGGTGAACACCATGCACCGTCCACGGTGGGTCTCCTTGGACGTATCTGGCATGGCCGAGGCAGAGGACCGTGGGGAGGGGGGGGTGGGCAGGGGTGGGCAGGGGTGGGAAGTGGTGGAGTTGTCGTGCGGGTGTAAATCAATCAATGCTGGCGTCTGAATGCTGTGTATGGTCCCCGTGGGCCTCCGCGAGGGGGGTTGATTGGAAAGTGTGGTTGGATATATGACCCACAGTAAGGTCACCAATCCAGTCCAACAAAGACAGGTCAGCATAACAATGACACGTCAGCACATTAGAAAACACACGTCAACGTACGGGCAATGGATATGATTCGCAGGGGCTCCTTGTCATCATTACGGATGATACCAACAAAGCCAGGTCAGCAAACGACAAAGACACATCAGCACATAGACACGTCAGCACACCACGAATGGATAAGATTTCCAGGCCCCCCTTGCCATCAACCCAAATCCACCTGCCCCAGCCTCGTGGCACCGCAAACGCGTCACCCAAACGCAGCCTCCTGAACAAGACAGTAAAGGGTAAAACAATAAGGGGTACAAGGCAAGGGACAACGTAAGGTTGAGTCCCCTTGCCATCGTTCCAAAGCCACGTGCCCCATCCTCGTGGGAAAGCAAACGCATCACTTTGCAAGCCTCCTGTAAAGGGGATAAGACAGTAACGGGTACAAGAAACAGAGCCGTTTGTTATGATGTATCATGCATGATATCACATTGCATCGTACCAAATCACACCACACCGCACCGCACCACATCCCATCACATCTCACACACCTCACCTCACGTTGGTGCGAATACCCTCTGGGCTGATAAGCCCTGCCCGACCGTTGCCCCGCGACACATAGGACACCTGCGCACCGCAATGGCAGCATACTTAGTGGCCTTTGAATTCACTGGAAAATCACCTCTGCACGTAACCCCCCCTCCACCACTTAGGACACCTGCGCACCGCAATGGCAAGTTTCCAGAAATGCTAAGGGGGGTGCGTGAGTGGTAACCCACATAACCCACATGTGCAAGTGATACATACAGTGGGGTAACCAATGGGCATGTCAAGGGTATTACAGAAGTATGCACAACTCGAATATTAACAATTATTAACTCGAATTAGATTCGCGCAACTCCTCATCACTGCTGTGCTGACATCTACTTTTGCGGCACCTCAGGTCATGGACAGCACTTGGAACGGGCATAGGTTGCAGCGCACCTCGTCACCATTGGAGTACATTGGAAGAGCCATGGATCCGGCATCTATGTGCATTACGGTTATACTGACGTTCGCGTCCTGCCATGAGGAATGGTTGATTGGAAGCAGGGGGTGCAAAGATAACGTCACATGTTGCGAACACAACTCCTCATCATAGGGGTGCATGGGTACATGGGCAGAGCCATGAATAAGTTGAGCTGAGGCAAAAAAAAAAAAAAAAAAATCCCATGATAAAGGAAACCCCAGTCGTTTCAACCCAGCGCCCCACACTTCAATCCGCCCTTCACCAGTTGCCACCTCCACCTGTGGCCTCCCTGCAAGAAACTCCCTCGCCTTGATCTCCCATCTGCCTCTCCCTCTAATCAACACACAGTTCACATGCACACATATGCATGCACCCACCCACACACTCAAACTTACCTCCAGTCGCTTCATCCCAGCTCCCAACCTGTAAATTGCCCCTCCACTGGTTTTCAACTCCACTTGTTCCCGCCTCAAAAAAAACTCATCCTCCTCTGCGTTCCTTCCCACGCCCAGACCTTTCCCGAGCCGAGCTGCAGCACCGTCGGAAAGCCAAACGCGAGGATCAGGTTCGGAAATAGGTGTGGTAAGCTCAGGTTCGGCAGCAGGTGTGGTGGTGGCCTCGGGTTCGGCACCAGGTGACACGGCATGTGCGGCGGCAAGCATGGGCGAAGGAAAGGGTAGTGGAGAGAGGAGAAGGAGAAGGCAGAGGAGGGAGAGGAGGAGGGTGGAGGTAGGGAGTAGCAGCAGCGGTGGGAGCTTGAAAGGGACGAGACGTGGCAGCGCCATGGGTGCTTATAGCAATCGCCCAAAGATAACAAGGTAAGATAACCACGGGAAGGGGTAGGATATCAGCTTGATTATCGTTTCACTCAGGAGAGAACCACGTGAGTAAGGAGAAACGCCGCTGAGATTATATTAATGAACGCGAAAGGAGGTGCAGAAGTACCGAAGGCGCGGAACTGAACCAGGACCGAGACGAGCCAGAGGAGGGGAGAAGCTGACGACGGAATGAGCAGCAGCGAGCGGGGTGGGAGTGTTGAATTTGAGGGCAAGGGGAAAGCGAGAGGGAGGAGGAGAGCGCGGCTGGAGGAATCAGC